CTGTCCCAAGGACAGCAATAAGACCACTGGCTGCGTGGCTCTTCCTGCTCTGAGTGCCCTGCCTCTATCTATCTCCAGTCACCAGTGCAGCGGGGCACACCCTCTGGGGATTTGCAGACTCTTGATGGTAAAAATGGATTTGGTGCTGAAGGCAAATGATACTTAATACCTGTGTGAAAATGGGGTTAAAAAGCAAAAACCACTTCCCAACCTCCCCAAACCAATCAGGGTGGTTACTACCAAAAAACACCCAAAACACAAGTATTGGTGAGGATATGGAGAAACTGGAACTCTTGCACATTGCTGTGGGAATGCAACATAGTGCAGCCACTGTGGGAATCATGACAGTCCCTTAAAACATTAGAATAACCATGTGATCCTGCAATTCCACACTGGGTATGTATACAAAGAAGTCTCAAAGACACATGTGTACATCTGTGCTCACGACAGCACTATCCACAAGGGCCAGAAATCTCTTCTGCATCCAGTCGTGTCCTGATAGTGACCCCACCTTTATGGGACAACCTGAAGGGGACCTCTGTTACCATGGTGCAAACACAGGAGCGTCGTTGGGTGTGCACCATGGTTGGGAATGAGGCAGAGCTGGCTCTAGGGTACTGCTGGTGCATCCTGGGCACAGGGCGAAAGCCAGTTCTTCACAAGAACGTCTCACCTCACTTCTACAGCAGGCTGGACACACATGTGTGCTAGCCCCTGTTCTAGAGGTATGGATGTAGCAGTGATCCCCTGAGGCTGCCCACAAGTCCCCTATGAGTGCAACTGCAGAGCTAGCAGCCAGCAGCAGACAGGTGTGGAGCTACCAGAAGACCTGCCCACTTCCAGGGGGCCAAGCGGCCAGTGGGCCACTGCAGCATGATCAGCACTGACAGAGTCCTTGACAGTGGGGAGGGGTCTCCAATCAGCAGAGATGGGTTCCCATGACCTCTGTCCAACCAGCAGCCACTGCAGATTGTGAACACAGCTGGTGCCACATGCTACGGCCTTCGGAGCACACGGTGTGTCCTGATGGGGACTGTGCACAGGCACACCACGTCAGATGCAGCCACCTGTTGGCATTTCACTTAACCCCCTCTGCGAGGGGCCTCCGCCCCTGCACATGGCTGAGAACAGGGTGAACATCGCCCAGGGCAGAGCCCAGAGGGTCACAGGAAAAAGGGGCAACAGGGAGACACAAAGCCCTCTCCTGTCCCACTACACATAAGAGCACCGCCCTAGGTGCAGACTGTCCCAGGGCTGAGACAGTATCTTTCAAAGGCTATGGATGCTGGCACCAGTGTACCCCAGCAGCTCTGCGCTACATGTGGGTCACACTGGGCAGCTCCAGCCAGAGCGCCACTACTCCCCTCTGGGCCAGGTGACATGGACACTATGAAGAGCTGCAGAAGCCTCCATGCAGATGTGAGCAGGAATCTGTGCATGATTCACAATAGCACTTGGCATTCATGGACTGCCTCACTCTGGGGAGAGATGCTCTGACACACGCGGCATACCAGGAGTGCCAAGTGACATGGACCACGCACACTGCATTGTCTCCAGCTGTTCACATTTTAAGACCTACCAGACCTTGGCCCCAGAGCAGCTGTAATGTGCAACAAGGTCTAACCCATCTACCCGGTCACCCAGTGCCACCCGGCTCCACGATGCATGGCTGCCCCCACACAGCAAGCATGGAGGGAGCAGAGGGAGGGGTCACAGCCTAGGAGCCTGCCAGGCTCCTAGAAAACTCTAGAAGGGAAGATGTCAGCGCAATGGCACTGGGCGCCTTCTCAATCTCCACTGAGACCTTTGTCAAAACGGCATGCAGGCTCCCAATCTGACTGCTTCTTTGGGTTTTTACTTTCTTTCATGAAGCTTCATGCATATAAAAATGTTAGTCTGTCTTTTCTCCTCTTAATGTCTTTTGTCAGTTTAATTCACAGGTCCTAGAAACAGAACCTAAGAGAGAGTCAAAGTTTTTCTTCCCTCCACCAGCAGTGTAACTCCTCTCTTCTCTGCCCTCCTGCCTCTCTCCCATAAGAAACCTGGTGATCACACTTAGGGCCCACCCTGGAAATTCCAGGTGCATTTCCCTATCACAAGGTCCTTAACTTAATCCTATCTGCAAAATCCCTTTACCACGAACAGAAACATTCACAGGTTCCAGGGATGAGGAGGTGGGTACCTCGGGGCATTATTTATCTCCTGCAGATCCCTGGCATATGCAGCCATGAACCTTTGAATGAAGCCTCCCAGGTCCCATCAGGGCATATGAAGGGGAGACAGGGCAGCTGGGCCAGGCCCTGTCTGAAGGGGCCACTGCACCTCCCAGCCTTCTGCAACGTGGCCTAGTATGGGCTTGATTTTTTTCCTCCTGAAAGAAAAAACCCTCAATTTTTAGATGACGCCTTCCTATGCTGTGAGGTAATTAACACATATATTTTTAATACTGGGAAGTCCCAACCAAACCCATCTGAGGGCTGCGATGCCAGTCTAAGAGCTCAGAATCCACCTGGGCCCCTTGCATGGGGGAAGGGGCAGGCCAAGGCAGGGCGCGCACGGGGCTGCATGTCCCCCAGGGGATGTGGACGACAGAAATCCCCACTAACAGAGTCAGGATAATGGCAGTCACAAGGCAATATTAATTTTAAGAATGCTGGTTGAGTAAACATGCAAATGACCATTAACAGGACCTGGAAAATAACCAGGAAACCAGTACATTCCATGGGAATCTTGACTTGATGAGTCATTGAGATGCAAATTTTACCCCAATTCTGGAAGGATTACAAGCATCTCCATTCACAGCCCCCATTCCTATGTAAATTCTAGTCCAAGGACTGGCCCTCCAGTTCCCAGCCTTCTGGCTGCTTTGCCCTGTTTCTTTCCTTGAGGCTCCTAAGCAGGAGCTGCGGAGTTTCTGGTTTGTTTCTGGGCCCTCCTCCCTTCCCCAGCCCGCAGAGACGGCAGACTCCCAGGGCTCTCTGACTTTTACACACCTGAGCCATACTAGACACAGCGCCGGGCATGTACTTGGATTTATAAAACCCAGTGACAACAAGGCCACCCAGGTCTCTGTGTCAGCAAAGATCCTAACAGCAGCCACACCCACGGCTTTATGCAGAGCAAGTCCCGCAGGCTCCACCCACGCCCCACCTGGCCCTGACCCGCCCGCTGCCAGCTCCTGGAAAACCTGGTTGGGGTATACCCCAGCCAGGGCCACGCCCGCAGGCTCAGGCCCGGCCTTTCCTTACAGAGACTGTGCAAAACACAGAAACTTAGAGACAAATGAAATTTAAATAAAGGAAGGGCATGAACACTGCCAGACGCCCAGTGTCCATACATGCTGTGCTGCATCCCAACGTACATGGAATTGGCTGCCCCTGAGAGGAAGGCAAGGATAGCCCCAGGCCAAGGAAGCACCCCCACCCCGACCCAGCTCCCCAGAATCACGGCCTCAGCCTCGGCTTCTCGGATGCTCGCTGGCCAGCTACGGACGGACGGACTTCTCAGACAACACCCTGCACTCTGCTGCCTTCAAAGCACAGAAGTGCAAAGCTCTGTGAAGCCTGTCAGGTCCACTCAAGTGTTTTCCCTCTGGCTGTCCGGAACAGCAGCTGGTCATTCGGTCCCCTCACATTAGAAGGAAGGCCACTCACTCAGCTCATTCTCACTCAACCCCAGTGAGTGGTGAGAAATGGGAACACAAGACCATTCACCGAATGATAAAGACAACCTGAGCCCCTGACCCTGCCCAGTTGGCCTCACCTTTCCTGGGGCCGTGCTCCTGACCCCACGCTGGTCAGCGTGTCCCCAGCCGCCAGGCAGGATGGGCACTCAGGACACCATCTGGACCGGCCGTCCTATCCTCACACAGGGCCTCTGCCCGCCTGGGACATCTGTCCTGACCGCAGGGGTTTCAAGGGCTCTGTTATTAGTTGGGTCTCAGGCCAGGACTGCTCCAGCCACAACAAGGCACCCTTCAGCACAGGGACAAAGTCCTGTGGTGAGCCTTGTCTGCAGGTTGTGGAACAAGCCTGTCCCATTCTCTTCCTTTTAAACAGCGGAGCTGTTCAGCAATGTGGGCGCAATTGTTTTCCTGTGTGGGCTAATTCAGGGGCTTGTGGGACAGGGCCCAGCCCCAGGGCTGAAGGAGGAGGAGAAAGGCTGCCTTAGATGAGGCTGTGGGGGTTGTGGCCCAGCACCCGAGACGTGCACACGGGTCTTGTCGACCTACGCAGTGGCTGGGGGCCTGCCAAGGGCAAGCTTCTCCATGCCTGAGGACTCTGCAGGCCGGGCTACTACTGCAGTCGTCTGGGGCTCCATGGCAGGATGGGCGAGCTGCCTAGGGCCACGGGAGAATGGGGCTAGAGGGGAAGTCCCAAAGAAGCAGATGTAGCCCTGGGCGAGTCACTCGGACCCTCTGAGCTCTCATGTCCAGCCTTGGATACAGGAATCATGAAGGCAGCTCAGTCAAGAGGTAGCAATGAGGGCAAACTTGGGAGGTGAACATGCACAGAGCTGCTGAACAGCGCTGCAGTGAGATGGCCTGCTCCCAGCTGGGCAAATGACCCTAAACGTGAAGCACATGACCTCTTCTATTAGGGACTGCGGGGGCCCTGGCTGCTCTGTCGGCCAGTATGCCCACCCCCATGAGTGGCCTGATACTAGTGGGCATTGCATAGTGCACTGAGGAGTGGCTCATGCAGCTCTGGCGGTTTTTATTTTTCTGCAGACCAGGTTTTCCTCCCACAATGGCAGGCACCTGCCCTCAAGCCTGTAAGAAAGCGAGATGCAGTGGTATTGCCCAAACTTGGTCGCTCACACTTGGTCTTGAATAAGCAAACAACCACAAAACAAGCAGCAGAGCAGGTGTGAGGCTCGCCCTGTGTCTCTGACACTGCAGGCACTGTCTCCAGATTGTAGCCCCTGCACCCACCCCCACCTAGCCCCAACCCTAGCAGGCAGCAGCGACAAGACTCCCACTGCTGCAGTGCACCCTGGGAAGGGAAGGCGCAGACCTGGGACATGGCTGGGCTCAGTGACCATGGGCACCCACCCATGTGTGCCATCAGCAAGGGGCGGAGGTTCCCGGTGCTGCCCCAGGTCAAGGGGTCCCAGGGAGGGAGGTCTGGCTGATGTGTCCAGGTGCTGAAGGAAGGTAGCAACATGACTTGAGCAGGCACAGGTGACAGCCACACAAATTAGGTCTCTGAGCCTCGGAGACGAACAAGACAGGGACACTGTATGAAAGGTGTGGTGCTCTGCCCTGACCTGCAGCTCGGGACACACAGCCAGGACAGGGACATGCTTGGACCTAGATGCCAAGTCTAAAATTCCTTAAACTGAGCAACTCAGCCCCAAGCATGAGCCATCCAACCTGCTAACACCCATAGTGCCATCTGGGTGTTAGCTCCGTGCCCTTTTCGTTGGAAGGTTTCTAATAACCCACAGGGGTAGGGATAGAGGGGCAGGGCCATCTCAGCAAGATGCAGAGAGAAAGCAGGGGACACTTTACCTAGAAGGGTGGGCGGCTGCTGTGGAGAGAGCAGGCTCCCTGGGGCCTGAGTGTGGAAGAGGGAAGAGGGAAGCAACAAAGACGAGCTGTAGAGAAGAACAGCCACGCTGCAGCGAACAGCCACGCTGCAGAGAATAGCCACGCTGCAGCGAACAGCCATGCTGTAGAGAACAGCCATGCCGTAACGAACAGCCACACTGTAGAGAACAGCCACGCTGCCGCGAACAGCCACGCTGCAGAGAACAGCCACGCTGTAACGAACAGCCACGCTGTAGAGAACAGCCACGCTGCCGCGAACAGCCACGCTGCAGAGAACAGCCACGCTGCAGAGAACAGCCACGCTGTAATGAACAGCCACGCTGCAGAGAACAGCCACGCTGCAGAGAACAGCCACGCTGCAGCGAACAGCCACACTGCAGCGAACAGCCACGCTGTAACGAACAGCCACACTGTAGAGAACAGTCAAGCCAAGCGCCTTCCTTCTCTCCTGGGAGCCTCTTGTGACCATGAACCCAAGCTTTAAGTTTAGAGATGAGAAACTGGAGACCTAGGAAGGGTGAGGAGTGAAGGGCTGGGGGCCTCAGCTGCCGCAGGCCTTGTGCTCCATGGCTGCCAGGCTCAGGCTGGCCTGGAGAGAGCTTTCAGGGCAGAGCACCTCCTTTGGTGGCTCGTGATGGCTGCATCACAGAATGGAACAAGGTGAGCGGAACGGCATTCACTGCGGGAGCCTGGCCACTGTAAGTCCCGCTCATGACAGAGCTGGAATCATGCAATTAGATAAAATATTAACCCGGCGCATCACAGGCTCGAAGCTATGCCAGTCAAACCCACATTATGAAGCGCTTTATTCTGTCATTCCTGAGACAAAGAACATTTCTAGTGTTAAAGATATCCGAAGCAATAAATCGAAGTATTCTTTATATTCTTTGACTAGAATTGAATATGATGTATGTATTTTAAGAACTTCTACACACTCTACAAAAGGCTTCACAATTTTAAGATGTGTTTATAGATTCAGAATATATGAGTTGCCTGGTTTAAAGAGTAGGGTTTCTTTGAATCCTCTAAGATCTAGTGGCTGAGAGTGGAGACCACTCTGGCCTGTAAACTGCCCAAGAGGATAATGAGACCTGAAGGCAATTTTCTTAAAGCAACGGTAATATTAAGAGAAATACTCACATTGGAAAGAAGCATTTCTTCTGTGATTAAAGATTTCACAAAAAATTAAGGTTTTTAATTATGCAAAGATGGTAATGGTTTCAAACACCTGCATGTGCCACCCACACAAACGACGTGGTACAACACCTATTCCATTTCCATCTAAAAGGTGTTAGCTCGGTCAGCGGCTCACTGGTCCAAAGATCATCACAGCTAGCTGGACCCCAGAGTGCACTGAAAGGTCAACCTAATTTGCAAAAAAACCAAGAGCAAGTGTCTATTTTTAAAAGCATATTTGCAGGTCCTGTATTTTCTCTTTACAAAGAGAAAGTCAGCGATGCCCCCGACTGCACAAGTTTTGGCTGAATGGGAACTGGCCGACACATCTTTAGTGTCAATTTAAACATTAACTCACTTTAGCCCACAAACACACCGTACAGTCATTCTATATTGGTGCACTGCCCCTCAGTCACCTTCACCACAGCTGAAAAGTGGACACACCTGCTGGGTCAGGAGCCGTGTCTGGGACACATGGGGAGACCTGCCTGCTCTTAAACCCACCAAGGGCAGTCCACAGGGAATGGAGCCACGATAAGCGGCCTGGTGTCCTCCTCTTGAGCCTGACCCTCACCCTGGGAGCCATCCGGGCTGCCACACCTCCATCCACACCACCTGGGATGAGCCCTGGAGTGGCGCTGGCTCCTCTGCCCCGAAGACCCAGTCAAAGCTCCCTCCCCACCCCTACCAGGAAGCAGTGACCACACCACCCTCCCTCCCATTCCTCCCCAGCCTCTGTGGCTTCTCCCACCCACACTTTCAGCCACCCCCAAGGTGTAGCTGCATGACTGTCTAAAAACTTCAAATCTGGTCTTGACGATTTCAAATCTGCCTCTGCCGAAAAGCCTTCAACAGCTCTCTGTGGCCTTTTGCTTAAAATCCCAATCCTTTATCCTCACAATGCTGCCTGATCCACCTCCCACCCACACCCGTGTATCCCCTGTTCCCATCATCCTGCCCCCTGGGCCCTGCCCTCCACACTCATCCCCGAGGGAGGCTGCACCTTCCACAGCGGCCGGGACCTTCTGGGTCAAGTGTCCCCTGGTCTCCTGGAAAAAACAGAGGCTGCTTCGTCCTCTGAGTTCCCCGGCACCTTGTGCAAGACTTATTCATGTTCCTTTGCAAATATTTCTTAACTAACTACCTGCTACGTGCCAGGCAACATGCTAAGTGCCAGCAGAGCAAAGTGGGGCTGGCTCCACCCTATGGAACCCATCCAGTGGGCAGGACATCAGCGTCCCACGGCGTGTGCTTGCATGTGTGTGATGACACACTGTGACAAGTCCTGAGTAGGAACACACAGGGTGACAAGAGAACTACAGTAGATAAGCTGGCCCAGTGAGGAGGCCGAGTTGGACCCAAAGGGTGAGGTGTCAGAACTGCACAAGCACGCTTTAACTGGTCTACTGCAGCAAACTTCCACCCAAGAGGGCAAAGCAGCATGCAACTTGAACGTTCAGAACTCCCGAAGTTGTCTGACCTGCTCACCCAGGGAGTCCTTCTAAGAACAACAAGCCACTCCACTGGGCAAGCCGCTCTTCCAGCAAACCACCATCAGGCTGGCTTCCCACCCTCTGCTGTGTCCACTGATCTTAAAGTCTTATTATACATTGTTAACGTGTCCCAATCCAAATCAGATCAGCCACCCACATTGAAAGATCTGCCTTAAGCCAAACTCCCAGACCTTACAAATGCCAACCCTTGACCTCCGCTTCCACACATGTGCAGGACTCAGCCGGGCAGCACTGTTCCTCCCGGCAGTGGGCAACTTCCATGGCTCCGTGTAGCAGACAACCATCATGGAGGACTCCTCAGGAATTCGGCACCAACAACATGAGCTTCCCAGGAAGACGGAACAACAGGCAAGACAGAGCCTGAAGTGTCTGGGATCAGCAGGGAGGGTGATGTGGCCGAGGTGCTGACGGCAGAGGCAACCCTGAGCTCTCGCTGCAGGCGTCTGTCTGTGCCGGCCAGGGCCCCGTTCCCACATGACAGTCCACCCCCAGATCACTGTGTCAGAATCAGAACACTCCCAGATCATGGGAAGGAAGTGAGGGCAGCCTGGAGGCAGCAGGTAGGGAGGGGACCAGTTCCCCACCACCCCATGGCTCCTCCTCAGGACTTCTAGGACCTGCATGAAGGCCATGGCTGCTTTGTCCCTGGGTGTCCTCAGTACCCTCTTTGTCATTTCAGCCCCCAATACCTGTCCAACCATTCTGCTTCCAGCTTTCCTGCCTGGGCCCTAACCCCACCCCCAACATTCCCATCCCACCCTGCCCTGTGATCTAAGTGAAGGAGAAGCCCAGCAACTCCAGGCTCTCCACTGTGCGGACAGAGGGCTAGAGGCTGGCAGGAAGGGCTCACAGCCGTGTCCACCTTCTCCAGGGGACGATCTCTGTGGGGGATGGGAGGCAGATGTGCTGAAAATGTCAGCAGTACTGACAGTCCTTCACCAGGCACCCATCCCATGTCTGTGTTTAAACATTTCCCTTCCTCATTGACTGCAAGGCTCTGTTATTTAACACGCCTGAAACCTTGCAGTTTATGGATGTGTGGACCAGTAATGGCCTGGCTGGTGAGCTCAGCATGTTTTTGATCGCCCCTCCCTGTAATCACTCAGCGAGCTGGAGCTGTTTCCTTCCCTTTGCCCCTGGCCTAGGCCACATCTTCAGGCCAGAGACATGGTTTGCTGCCCCTGTGTGGCCTGGGTCAAGGTCACTGGCCAGAGCACTGGGAGGGGCTCAGTGGATTGACCCTGAGCACCACGGCTGCCACACGGGTGGTGGGGGCTGCTGGAGCCCCCACTCCAGCCCCACTGGCCCACCCGCCAGAAGAGGAGGGAGCTACCTGCTCTTTCCAAGCCTGACAGGCTCCAAGAGTCCTCTGCTAAACATAGTAGCTTTGCAGAAGAATATAGACTTCGTTTGTTAAATGCAGAATAGGAAGAATTATAAGGAAACCACGCAGCAGCAACATCTCAAAGCAGCAAGACGGTCAGCAGCACGGAGGAAAGGAGGGCAGGCACCATCTGAAACCACGCATAAAAATAAACTATCTGCCTGGCCAGGGTCCTCTTTCTCCACTTTCGAGAAACACAGAGCTTAAGGTAAATATAGAAAAGACAATGAGTTTCACTTCCACAGGCCCCAAGAGCTAGCAAAGAATCAAACCTACCCACCCTGAGCTGTCAGGACAAAAGCATGGGGAGGGGCGAGTTCCTGGGGGTCGTAACCACGTCCATCCCGGAGAGGGATCAGCACCAGACAACATCTGGCATGGCTGCGGCCCTCCCCGTCCTTCTCACCATTTCCCAGCGAGGAACCACCAGACCTGGGCAGATGCAAGTCAATGCTGGGGACCCTGGTTCACACATGTGCCAGTGTCATCTGCAAACCTGGGCCTCGGGCCTGGGCTGGGACAAGCCTGTCATCACACAGCCTGTGAGACTTTAGGGGCCTTCACTCCGATGCCCATCAGGACCCTGCTCAGCAGCAGGCAGGCCCCCTGCATCCCTACAGCATGCCTGCACAGCCTCTGCCTGACCTGCCTGGGACTGAAGCCACCCAGGAGGAAGGCAGCTCTTCTCCCCAGGAGGTGACTCAAAGCCCACAGCCCAGCCCCACCAGGTCCCCTGAAGACTTCTTCACAGCTTCACGAGTGAGACTTCCCGGTCAGTGGTGGGATTGTGACCACCCACACTACCCCCTAGATGGAACCCAGGGGAGCCCTGAAGAAGAACGGATGCCAGAGCTCAACCTCGACACACACTCCAGCCACAAGCTGTGTGTGGGCTGAACAAGGAGATTAATCACTAGGGCCACCGGGATGCCCATGGGCCAAGCCTCCGGCCCCCTTCCCACAGGTCCTGGCTGCTCTGTCCACCTTCTCACTGACCTCGGAGAAAATGTACCACAGTCCTGCTGTCCCTCCAGAGCCTTCAGGTGTCTGACAGAAAATGAGCCCTCCCTGTAAAGCACAGCCTGGACTCCACCCGCCCGTAATAGCCACCCGGGAAGCAGGTCGGGCCAGCAGCCGCCGCCAGAGGAGGATGTGCCCGGGGTAGGCGGGTGGCAGACGGCCCTGGCCCTGCAGCGCCTCGGCCGCACCCCACCCCACGCCTGCCTCCGAGCTGGTGGCCAGGACCTGGCTGCCTCCTCTCCTGGCTATGAGTCCTGTATGGGCCGGCACCTGAAACTCTGTACCCTCCTGCCACAGCATGGGCAGGGATGGGGTCACCAGCTGGTAAAGGTAGGTCCTGACCTCCTGGGCTTCCTGCTTGGGTGTGGTCTGCCACACTTGAGCAGTGCCATAGAAGACAGGACACAGAGAGCATCTGGGGATTCTAGGGTGCCAGCTGCCAGAGGGGCCCAGGCAGTGCCTGGGCATGAGCATCCTCAGGGGCCCAGGGTCACGCAGACCTGGGCCAGGTACAGGCACCTAAGCTGCAGTGACATGCTCACCCCACTGCATGCCCATGCATCCCCTGACCACAGGCAGAGCCAGGGCACCCCCTGACCACAGGCAGAGCCAGGGCACTCACCCCCTAAGGAAATCCAAGCAGTGGGCGGGTCCCTGACACGAGGAGTTATCTTTTCACTGCTCCCCCCATAATAAACCTGCTTTACCTTGATTGCCCTGGACACCTTGTCTTTTAGAAATTATACTTAACACAGGCATAAGTCTGCATCTACCTGGTGGTCTCTGTTTTTCTGCTTCCCCTGGGCCCCCCTCTCTGCCTCCACGGCCTCTTCCCTGGCTGCCCCTGCAGCACAGCTACAGGGTACCTGCCTTTATCAAGCTCTGCCCAGGAGCCATAAGAAGAAACACAGGCAAACACATACCCACACATGCAGGAGCACTCCTGCCATCACGGCTCATAAAGCACATCATCACACACGGAGCATGCGAGGGGACTCCTCCCAGCCATCAGCACATGCTCTGCAGCCGCTACTGACGGGATGTGGGCACATGAAGAGACAAGCAGGCCAGCAAGTGGGATGGAGGATCCGCAGTCGGAACCCAGTTTACAGGAGACCCTAACAGACCACAGAGCTGACGTTCAATTCATTGGTCAAAGGACGGATTATTGACTAATTAGTGCTGGCACACTGGAAGGAAACAAAATTGTCCTCCCCGACCCCAAACATATTATTTCATGTTAAAAGCATTCTAGACACGTTCAAGAGTTTAATTCAAACACACATAACAAAAAAACTCCTGCCAGAAAATCCCCAGACAACCCATGTAATCTTCTTAACAAATGCTAAGAGAAGAGAGAGACATATTTGACCACAAAATGAGTTCATCTGGACAGCAAATGATACAATAAAAGAAACTAGCCAAGGAGAGAATTAGGAATAAATGTTTTCCAAGCAGAAGAAAGAGGATCAATATCTATAACAAATCCAGAGTGCCTGTAGATTGGCAAGAGAGGGCTGAATGTCACGACAGAACAGGCTCACAACACACAACAGGCGACTCACAGGAAGATCCAAATGGCCACAGAACATTCAACAAGGACTCAACACTCACCAGGTTCTGGGGTGATGCCATCAAGGACACAAAGTCACTCTGCCCATGAAGACTGACAAGTCCGTCTACAGTGTTTCAGGCCACTGCCAAGAGAGAGTGCTGGGAACAGGGAGCTCCCCATGCTCAAGGGGAAAGGATGAACTACTGGATCTTTTCAGAAATGGATCTTGCAAGATGCATTACAGTGAAGAGACACACGCTCTTTGGACCGTGAGTGCTCCTCCCCGAAACTTGTGCACTGAACGACAGCTCCAGAGTGAGGCCAGGGTGTTCGCGGAAGCACTGTTTACACTGCCTGCATGGTTTTCCAGTGGCAGCTCTCACCAGTGACCACAAACTGGGTGGCTTACAATAGCAGAAGTGTATTCCCTCACAGTTCTAGAGGCCAGAATTCTGAGATCAGTTTCACTGACCAAAATCAGGGTGTCAGCAGGGCCACGCTCCCTCTGGAGGTCACAGGGGAGACTCCCTTCCTGGCCCCTTCCAGCTTCTGGTGGCTGCAGTGTTCCTTGGTTTGTGGTTCCTTGGTTAGGCAGGGTTCTCCAGAGAAACAGAACCAACAGGATGTGCACAGGAAGAGACAGGGATTTATTATGTGCTCGGCTCACGTGATTATGGATCTGTCATCTGCAAGCTAGAGACCTGGGAAGAGCCGGCGCCTCTGTTTGCAGGAGGTCAGGCAAGCAAAGTCCCCTCTGGCTCAGGAAGCCGGGTCATTTTGTTCTACTGAGGGCTTCCACAGATGGGTAAGGCGGACTCACACTGGGTAGGGCTACCTTCTACCCCACCTTCTACTCCGCATGCTGTACACAGGCCTCAGGCAGGCTCCCTCTCCACGCCCCCAGCCTCTGTCCAGCTCAGAGGTCTCTGCAGGCTCAGCTGGGGGTGCCATGCAGGACAAGTACTGAACCCCCAGCAGGAGACAGGACAAGACCCTCATGTCCCAGACCCCCTCCCTTTGGAGCCCTGCCATGTGTTCTATCCCTGTAGGTCTGTCCACCCTGCCTTTAGGCCACGGCTTTCCTTAGTTTACCGATTCTCATGTCAACCTCACCCAGGAACACCTGCACAGACACCCAGAATAGCACCTGACCACTTAACGGGTACCCCGAGACCCAGCCCAATGGGCAGATGAAATCCACCCTACTCCAGCCTCGTGCCCTCTGTGCCTAACCTCTTCTACTGCCTCTTAGAACACTTGTGAGTGCATTTGGGGTATACCAGTTAATCCAGAATCATCCCCCCATCTCAAGATCCTCAACTTAGCCCCATCTGCAGACTCTTAACTCCAAAGTCACACTCTCAGGTTTCAGGGGTTAGAACCTGGTATTTTCGGGGGCCATCATTTGACCTACCATAAGGGACAAAGCCAAAAAACAAAAAACCCTGAGATGGACTGAGTGGCTCTGAACAGGGCCTGCTCCAAGGCCATGACCCCACCCTGCCCAGCATGGGCTAAGGAAGACAAGATGATGCACCATCCTATTTCCCTTACGAATACTGCCGGGCCTCTCAGGCCACCAAAGAGGGCAGAGAGGGGGGCTGCCTCCTGGGGCTTCTCCAGGCTTCGAAGCTCCCTGCATAAAGGAGCAGCTGCTTCCCCTTGACAGAGGTGTGGGACATCCCAGACCCTGGCAGCCACGCCTTCTAAAACAAGGCAGCAGCAGGAGGAGATTGAGGTGTGAAAGGGTGGTTGTGTGCCAGGCACGCTGGTGGGGAAGGAAGGTGCCTACCCTTAGGACCTGCCTT